ATGGTGTAAGGCCTGCACTGATATTATCTCTCCTCTCATCCCTGCCCTCCAGGGAGACACAAGAAAAAGGGATAAGGAAGAAAAGAGAAGACCGAAAATGGAGACAATAAAGTGGAGGTAGACGAAAACGGCCCAGACCGGCAGAGATGAAGAACCAGTGAGAGAGGAAAAGTCTTGATTGGTTCAATTTTCCTCTCCCGTCCTCGGCCTTCAGACAACACCCAGCTGTGCTTCATCAGCTTCTCTGACCCCAGAGTGTGGTCATTTGTGTGTGGAAGCCGTGTGTGTTTATCTGCTCCCATGATCCCTGTGGCGTTCTGAGCACAACTTCCCAGCCTACATCTCAGCATCCTACTGGCTCTTTCACCCTCACCTCAGTCTCTGATTGGCCCAGACACGGCAGGATGCTGCCTGAGCCTGGTCAGAAAAACCAGGAAGGAGCTGTCGCGAGATACCAGCTTGGTGTTTTGATTGCTGCTGACCAGGGTCAACCGCTAACATACGGCTCAACGGATGGCTCCGTATGTGTCTGTATTAATGTGGGCATATTTGGCATTAAGAGAGAACACCCAAAATAACCTATGTTAGGAGTTTCTCCAAATTAACTTGCGTTGGAAACTTAGACAATCTGTCATCAAATCAACTTTCACAGGTTCCAAAAATGATGATGATGATTTTGTTTGGCTGAGGATCCAGATAAAAATGTGAGAAATAGAACGGAATGTGTGAAGAGTGAAACATTTTAAAATTTCAAAAAATAAAACAGTAACATTTGGTCTAAAGACTACATTTTAAATTGTCAAAATTAACACTGCTGTGACAGGAGTTTGATTCACACTAATGGCTAGTCATACACTTTAATGTGACTTAAACAAGTGCCCTACCAAGACTCGATGCTAAAAAAAAAAAAATCTTAATTTCCTAAATGGATCTCCCGAGGGATTAATAAAGTTCTATCCATCTATAAATCTATCGTGTGAAGGCAAAGCAAAGGCACAAAAACATTAAATTGTTTGATTTTTTTCTAACAATGTAGTAATAACAGCGTTTGGGCAAAAGCTGTTTTTCGGTCCATTTGTCTGTGTCTCTGTTATAAATGCTGTGACTTTTTTTTTAGTCGTCGGCTGTAAAAGCAAACATTAAGCCATTACTGCAAACCTTTTGAATTCCTATCATATACTGACTCACTGCCTGTGGGAGCAGTTAGTTGGTATGTACAGAAACCCTATCCAGAAACACCATGGTCCCATTCTTTTTCTCCCTTAAGCAGATATAGATAGTCAATAAAAAACAAGGCTAGCACGGAGCTGCTGTTACACTATCATATATCATCTGTGTCACATATACAGCGTGTTATTGGCAGCCTCCTGTTAGGGGATACTATGTAAGAGTATAGAATTTTTACAGTCAGTGTGTAAAATGAGTTAAGTATGGGGAACAGGAGTTTGAACATGATCTGACTGTGAACCTTCTGAATACAGTGTGCCCTTGTTAGGTTTCTCTTCGGGATGATGTGATGACATTGTTTGAAATAAAGGAGATTGAGCCTTAGCCTCAGGGAAGACTTTTGAGCGGTTCTCAGTTATAACTGTCGTCTTCTCATTTTCTCTATTCAATTTACTTAAACTTTACTTTTTTTTGGGGGGGTGGGGGGGGGGGTGCGATTACATCTAAACCAGCACTTTTAAAATAAATCTCCATTTATCTCTGCTTTGTTTCCGTGTTGTCCTCGTTCTCTAGATCTATACTCTACAGTATTTCTTTAAAAGTAGAGTGAGTTGTTTTTTTTTGTTTTTTTGTCGTGGATTTAATCAAAATACTGTATTTTCCGGACTATAAGTCACACTTTTTCATCCTGCGTTTGCGACTTATACTCAGGTGTGACCGATATAATAAATATATAATTTCACATGTTTGTTATTTTCACACTGACAGCCTCTAGAGGGCACTCTGTCATTGTTAGCATGACTATTCGGAGTAATATTTATATATATGTGGGTTTTTTTTCCTACATTTTTGTGCCGGTATTTGTCTGTTTGTGTGATTTTGACATTATTCCCTTTTTTAATGAAATGAATATTGTGTGTGATCATTGTGTGTCTGTGTGTCTTCCATTGATTTTTTTAACCCTTGCCCAACCATAAAAATTTTTTTTCGCATCCTAGCAGTACAAGAACACACATCCAGATACATCCTGAGACTCAGAGCCTAAGGCGTAGGGAAGAACACACATGTTCACGCATGCAAGGAGATACTGATTAACCCCTATCTTCTCTACAAACACGGCAGCATGGCAGATGAAGTCTACTTCTAGCACAGTCATACATGATTCATTGAGTTGCTGCAGAACATTGTTAAAACAACAAACATTGAGGCATACAAATGAAAAGCAGAGATGTGGAGGTTGAACAAATATTTAAGAACCTCGTTCTCTTGAAATACTGCTCCGTGGCTAAAATAAGACACTCATTCTCATTATTCATGAGGCATAATTATATTTCCGTGCTCAGGCGCAGACGAATTATACTTTTATAGCAGGTTTATGCAGCTGGCACCTTGCTTTTTTCAGGCCTCTAAATCTAGCCAAGGCCTTGTGAAAAAATTCTGCGCTGCATCGATATTCCACCATACAGTTCAGCTGGCACAGCTAATTGCTAACAAGGGCTAAGTGCTGACAGCTCAAGGCTAATTGTTGCTAGCATGTCAACTTTGTGGACATCAAACGAAGAAATTCTGCTTTGGACTTGGGCTGAGCGTCACTGCTTATTAGCCACGGCCTTGGAGCAACAATAAAGCGTCAATAAACAGGCATCTCTGAGGAGGGAGACACAAGCCCATCACCGGCCAATTAACAATGACTTGGATGTTTTCACCAGCAAGTGGACAACACGTGCCAACAGCACCACTGCCTGTCGATATAGACAGGAATTGACTGGATATATCTGGCTGTCACAATGTGAAAGAATGCAGCTCTGCAGACTTGGACCTCTGCTGATGTGTGCTGTACAAATATTGTCTCTAAAGGAGAATAAAGACAAAAAGAAAAGTTCTAAAGGCAGCCGTAATGACTAATAGACATTTCCACTTTCTTTTGATCAGGCAAGAATTTCCTTCCAGATCTGACGCGTGAGGCGACAGCTGTTTCAACTCCACCTGAAACAAAACTACGTGCACTACCTCTCATCTCATCTCGGTGTTGTTGCTTTGCATTATATTCGAAGATGGCAATAAAGACAAGGACAAAGGGAAGCGGCGGTGAGTTCATGTAATGGAGATGAGGAAGCAGCAGCGAGGAAGTAAGGTGGGAAGAACAAAGTATGACAGATGGTGAGAGAGAGAGGGAGAGAGTCGGGGAGAAGGATGAGCTCCATGAGCAGAGGGAGAGGTATAGAGTCGAGCTGTAAACATGATCAATCCGCTCACAACTAGGTTCAGAGACCTTCTTCCTCTTCACATTTTCGGCCTCAGCGAAGCGAAACTTAAACTATATCTTATCTGTCACACCAGTTTGAAACCTTCGCAGACGCCGTTCTGCCGACCTGGGAATCCTCCACACACAGACGTATGGATAGAGATTTAACCAAATTAAACAACTGAGACCATGTTAATGCCACACAAACATAAAGGTGGGATCTGGAGAAAGTGTCTGTAAACACAAAGCATGAAGCTACCTCGGACTTCCCTGTAGGGGGTGCTAAATACTCAGTTTGGATTCACCTCTTCAGGAATTGAGTAAAATTGTTTTTTTAAATAAATAGGATCTTGAAATAATTAAAAAACTTTTTCTACAAAATCAACAACAGTCTGTAATTATCAAATACAACTACTGCATTCAATTAGAACATGTTTACCCTAAGTCATGACAGAATATTATTTCATTCTCATGTGATAATGCAAACACCATTTTTAACTTACAGATATGTATATTTGCCTCACATTAACCTATTAATTAGAGGTTTATAACCCACAGTTCCAGCTCATGTTCTGTCAATTACCAACCACCCGAGTTAAAAAAGCATTATGGTTTTTATTTTGCCTTGCAGGACTGCCATCTAACTTTTTAAAAAATGTCTGAAGTGATTAATTTGAATAAAATAATTTGAATTATTTTGAGGTCATTTCCACATATTCTCTATTTCCTCACCAGATGAAGCCACTAATACATTAAAATCATAAAGGTGTCAAAACAAAGTGCATCAAAGAAATGATAAAATCCATACTGTTGAAGGAACACGCTGTATATAGACTTAGAACAAATGTCCCGGCCAGTGTAGGATTGATTTATATTTCCTGGTGTTGATTCAAACACAAATTCATGTCATCAATATCAATTTGATGACCATCAGTTCACAGTGAGAGATCAGCAGCGGCTCATTCATCTTGATTGTGACTAAGGCCAGTGTCTAAAGGGCACAAGGGTGATCTATCAGGACAATGACCGTGTTAGTGTCCAGGCTGGTCATTAGTCAGAGGCGGCCATTACTTAAACCACAACAAGTCAATGCCTAAATATGGATCAGGATTTAGTTACCGTGGGGAATTTATTGGCTTAAATTGATTGGAATTAATGACTACATCCTTTAAACTAAAGTTAAATTTAGTTTAGTTAAAAGATCTTTTAAAAACTGGTCATTACATTTAATGCTGGTGAATCTGTTACAGATTAATAGATCGGGTTAATGCTATGCTGGCTGTATAGTTAGCTTTAGTTTTTTTTCAAAGGCTAGGTAAAGTGAAAAAAAACAAACTTGCTAATTAACTAAACTAAAATAAAAAGCTACTTTTGAACTACAAGTGATTTAAATAATCCTTGAAAAATGTTTCACCGAGCTCAGAAACCTTGTTTAAGTTGAAGATAATTTACTACCTTGTTGTACACATCCTCAATAAATAACACCCCCTCAGCCCCACCCCTCACCCCCAGATCCCTCAGCAGTGCTGAGACCGCTCCCCTTCAGTGAACACACAGCAGCATCAACCAGTTCCTGTTTGTGACTCACCGCTGTCTTCTGGCACTGAATGGAGGTGCTGTTGAAGCGTAGGGCTGGAACGCTGTGATTCTCCCCACGGATGCGGAAGACACACTCATAGTTCCTCTGTCCTGACTGAGGCTGCGGCAGGTTCTTGGCTGCTAAGGTGATGGGCTTGGTCACTCCGACGGGGATGTAAATCTGAGTCGAAGGAAGAATCTGCGGACAATCCTGCCAAAGGAAGGAAGGAAAAATAAAATAAAATCATTAAAATGTTCTCATTTGAGGGAGATAAGGCTGAAGGAAATTGATTTTGTGGTATACAGTCAGAGGGGTAAAAAAAAGGCACGGAGATAAGATGGAGGCAGTCACTTTTGTTGAGAGAAAAGGAGAAACAGTTGCATATACTGCTTCATGTCAAGTTTTTAGCTTTAGCCTCAATAGCTGCGCTGTGGTGCTCTGTTCACGTGTTAGAGGATTGTGAAAGACTCCCACTGGCCTTGCACCAAATATAAATGATGCAAAACAGCGGTGAGGCAACAGAGCCTCAACAGCAAAGTCCACAATAGATTTTCTGCCAAATAAAACTGCTAAGATCAGAACTGTGCTGAGCTATGGCAGCGTCCAGTGTGTTGAGTCCATGTGTGGGGTAGGGTAATGAGCTCATTAACTGTGGATTTGCTTATATACCGTGTGTGTTTTGTGTGTGTGTTTTGTGTGTGTGTGTCTTTGATATTAAACAGAGCTGACAAAAACTGTTAGACCATCCACTGGCCTATAACACTGAAGTATATTACCCTGGAGGGTGTGTTTTGTGGTGTAGATGTGTTCCATAGATATGTTCGACAAATACATAGCTTCATAATGTATTGCGATAATCACTGAATGCTGTTTCTGTATTGGACGTCCACTCAACAGGCAGCACTTCATACAGCAGACAGACAGAAGTTATGTGATTATGTGATTATTGTGGCCACGTGTTTTACAATCTTTTCAACGCTCAGAAACAAAACCACAAATATGAGACGATGGTTTGTTTGTGTAAAATATTTTATAGGGTGTCTGTGGTCTGTGAGCACTGCATTGTGGGTAGGTAAGAGCAGCTGGCCTGCTGGTGGGAAACGCAGTTCATGGGTCAAAAAAGAAAACACGACCTAATTCAAATTGTCAGACTATGAGTTCCCTTCATGTATTAAAATATCATTACTAATACAAAGCAACACATTTACTGTAATGTTAACTGGTAAAAACTACTGAATTTACTGGACAGATCCTCCACTACTCACTCTGCAGTCTGTCTTTCACTCAGCCAGCCCGCTCCCTGTCAGTCAGATTTTTGGTCTCTGTCTTGTTGTATATTAGAAGCTACAGCAGGTCCCCAGGGGACGAGCACGATGCTGGAGTTTGTTCATTACCCTGCTCGAGGTTGGCTTTGTGTGTGTGATCACACGCAAACACGTGTACAGCACATAATGAGAGGGGAATACCTCAGGAGACCAGAGCAGGGTCGAAGAGATCTGGAGTTGTAGCATAAGGAGCAAAAAGAGCAGTGACAGGTTTGAAGAGTGAGGTTTTTTAAAGGCATAAAGTGCTAAATAAAATATTTATTTACCCATGAACTCCGAAATGTAAAATTGAAATGTTAGATTGCTGTCGCTCCCAGAGCTAGCTTTTTATTCCCCTCCACCCTCCGCTCCATCAATCCTTCCGTCCACACCACATACCAAAGTCCCCCGACAACATCCCACCTAATTAACTGCCCGGAGCCGCAGACAAGGCCTGAGAATTGATGGAAGAGGGACAGTAAAAAGAAAGTAGAGATTGATTTGCACTGCCGGCATCTTCACTCCAGTCTCTGTACAGGAGAGGCTGCCGTGGAACACTGTGGCCTAGCGTTACACAAAGTGCCACACAAGCGGGAAAAAGTTACTTTACATTACCTTGTTACTAAAGCTAGCGCGTATAAGCCACTGTGTCAGATCGTGGCGTAGCTTGTAGCACAAACTGCAGCGAAGCAATGTTTTATTCATCCGCCTATCGACTTTGTGTCAGCTCAGCTGCGTGTCTATCGTTCCCTTTAGCAGGCGTCTTTCCTTTTAGTATCCCTTTACTTCATTCAGCTCTATAAACTGTCATCCCGAGCTAAAACTAGAGGGACGAAACTTTGAAATAATACGGTCGTGTAAAGCTGTATCAGGAACGGGGGATGGTTATCGTCCGGATTCCAAACGGCGCTGGATTTCACAGTAAAACAGTTCTCACCACCTGGACAGTTTCACAACATCGAGTTTGATACATCTGTCATTATGAATTGGTTAATATTAGGGAAACAATGATAGACTTACTGCAAAATTTGAATCAGTGCTTGTTACGGATGAGAACCGACAACAACCCTACTTAATATGACAGATTAAATAAACCCTTTCAGTTTAGTAAGTCATGACCTTGATTACCAGGACGCAGCCTTTGGTGGACGCTCCTTTTAAACCAAATGTTGTTAACATGAGGAAGGTTGCAGTACAGATCAAAGTGCTGCACAGTGCACAACTAGGTCCAAAATATTTGTGACAACCGCCAAAAGACCTCCAAGGTGGCATCAGCTACAGAGCGCACACAGCACTGAAACAATATTGCACTGAGGGGATTCATTTAGACCTGGTGAAGATCATCCTTCCTGTGTTTCCCTCTGTTTTCCCGACTTCTCAGCTTTCATTTCATCTCCAACCACGGATGCTGTGGTTTTCTTGGCCACTCACGTACTCACATCCGCTTCGTTTCGAGGAATCCAACGCGGGAGGAAGGAAGGGAGATGTGTGTGAGTGATGGTCTGAGTGTGTGCCATGAATGCTTCAGGGATGATTGCAGGTACTGGCTGATTCAGTTAAAGACTACGGTAATTCAACAGTCAACTCACTGGCGTTTCCTGAACGCACCATCCTGGTACCTTCACTTACTTTAATGTATTTTATTGTTTAGTACGGTAACCAGCAGGAGTCATAAATAGTGGAATTGCAGGTGTTCATATATTGGTATGGAATAAAGTAGTAAATTGTCTTTTACTTTATGAAGAATGTAAAAAGAATATGCAAAGAAAATTCAAAAATACAATACATTTACTTTAATTGTATTAAAAATAAAATAAAGAAACAATAAATTTAATTAAACACACCCACACAGAGACATGATGATAAAAATGACCTATAGAAACAAAGTTGCAGTTGACTATCAATGTTATAAACTGCGTGTTTATTTGAGTAACTGTCACGTGTTTGAATTCAGTTGAAAGCTAAATATCCGGAGGGCCACTCCTGAGCGTCACTGCCGGGGGCCATGGTACAGATACCAGTCGTTAACACAGGGTACGTGTACTTTATGTAAATTATCAGGATGATCTGTACATATACGTAAACTGAAAAAGAGGAAACGTAACACCTTAGAGTTTAGTCTTTTTTTGTGTGAATCCATTTATTACAAACAAAACCTAAGTATACGTTTAAAAAGACTAAAATAGGGCACTTTTTGATCTCTCACTTCTAACACCCCCACATGACAGTTTTGATTGAATATTGCTACGAGCTTTCTCAGAGGAGAGCAGCTGCCATTCTGGGTCAAGCTTGTTCAAATATTTTCCTGCCTTCATTCCACATGCACTCTGATGTGTACCTCATCATCTCTTTAATTAATTAAGAAAAATGAACAGCGGTGCACGGCAGGAGTATCTGGGAAGATCTCCACTCACAGGTCAACAAAACAACTTTTAGCGCTAGCAGCTAATGACGTTATCGACGGGCACGCACTTTTGTGTTTATTTAGATATGTAAAAGCTAAGAGTTTAATTCAAACCCCCCGATGAGTGGCAGGGGTGACGGGACCGGGAGATAAATAGTAACAGATGCTATTAATATTTTCTTTATAAAAACAAAAAGCCAGGACAGCGGTGACGGCTTTGGTGTAGCCTGACAGATATAAATGAATAAAACTCCAAAAACACAGCACATATATAATGAGAACAGTGTCTGGTCTTTTTTTTTTAATCCCTCCCCCGACCCCCTCTTGTCCATCCATAATTAATTAGCTGCCTCTGTGATGTGGAGACTATAGATCAGGGAGGAGGGAAAAAAAACATGCTAAATAATGAAGTAAAGCGATACAGAGAGCCTGGGGTAGAAATGAGATGGCACGGACAGCCACGGAGGAGGGATGAGGCGCACTGGTACAAATAGAAGGAAATGTGCATGTGTGTGTGTGCACATGCACGTAGGTATGTGCACACACACATACACAAACCGGTCTGAGGCTTTGGTGACCTAAAAACAAGGAAAATGTCTCCAACCTTGAAGACCCGTGGATGATTTACAGTCATATAGATCAATGGTTATGGTTGGAGTTAGGAGTACGGGGTTGGGTATTTTTAGTTTGACTAGTAATGTATTTTGTTGTTATTATTATTATATATTTTGGATGTGACTTTGAATGGTTGTTTGTCTCCATATGAGGCCCTCGCCCATGACTGCTGTGGTCGGCTCCAGCTTCCCTTAACCCTGGAGGATGGATGGATGGATGGATGGATGGATGGATGGATGGATGGATGGATGGATGGATGGATGGATGGATGGATGGATGGATGGATGGATGGATGGATGGATGAATTTACATTATTAATAATGTGTTACTGTTCAATCCTAATTCTAACTTATGGGAAAAAGACCACAGAACCCCATGTGTTCTTAGCTTTTGGCACCGACTCTAATAAATATAATTAAACTTTACCATCGCACACAATAATACGGTAAATCATTCTAATAAATTACTTTTATTGCTGAACTTAAAACTTGAAGTGTATTATATTGAATGCAAATCGTGTGAAAAAAATTAAGAAAAAAAAAGGCAAAGTAGGTGATTCACATTTTTATACAAAAATATAATGAATGAAACTGGTATGAATGGATTTAATTGAATTTTATTGCCTTTTCTTACGATGCCTCTTGGCTGGGGTTTTAAACAACCTGGTTTTGAGGAATAAATAAAATAAAACCAACTATATAAAAATGTTGCATATGTTTTAATGTTTACATCCATTACTCGCTGCTTAACCTCAGCCCACACTCGCTACAATTGTTTCAATTTTCTCCAGAATGTGTAACGTCTGGTTAAACTTCAGATTAGTTCTGTTTTATGGTAAATATATCAGTGAAAATGCAGCATTAATTGAGACGAATGGTGCGACTCTG